AAAAGGGTTAAAACATAGCAAAGATCTTTGAGAAATATAGGGTAGATAGCTCTCGGTTACTCGCCCCCTTGCAAAACAAAAACACTTGCCTATTTTTCAAACCACACATCACTACACTTTCAAAACAACTTTCAAAAACATTGAAAACCTTTTCAAAAGACATACACCTTTGTATACATCCCAACATAGATCATTACAAAGGTGGCCACCACATTGGCCTCTTTTTAAAACATTTTCAAAATCCACACACAAAGCACCATTTTAAACAATTGAAAATTAAGGCAAGTTGATCTAAGCAAGTAACTAAGAGCCCATGGATAACCATGGATAGAAAGGGTGCTAATACCTTCCCTTTCTATAATCTACTCCCCGAACCCAAGAAAACATCTCAAAGGTTTTTGCTGTGCTTTTTAACCTTTCCTTAGGATAAAATAAAAAGTCGGTGGCGACTCTTGCTCAACCGAAACATTTGCAAATACAAAATGCAAAACCTCAAGTCAGTTCTCCCACCGTATCATAGTTATGTACTGTTATAACTGTGAAAAATGGGGACACTTGGCCAAGAATTGTTGGTACAGAAAAGACAAGGGATCGACAGGAAAGGATGAAAGAGCGAACCTTGCACACCAAGATTTAGATGATTCTGAAGGTGGTATAGTGGTTATGGATGCAGTTGCAGATAACCATGTCGAATCCAAGATCTAGTTTCTCGACTTAGGCTGCTCGAACCACATGACTGGTCGAAAGGAGTGGTTGACAGATTTTGACGAGTCGAAGAAGAGCAAGGTGAAACTTGCTGATAATAGTTTGTTGCAAGCAGAAGGTACTGGCAACATAGTCTTTCAAATGAGTAATGGAGGGAAATCTATGATCAAAGATGTGCTCTATGTACCTGGGATAAAATGCAACTTGCTAAGTGTTGGACAACTAGTCGAAAAGGTTTCTCCATTGTCATGAAAGATGAAGTTTTGAAATTGTTCGACACCAAGAATAATTTGGTCTTAAAATCTCCATTGTCGAAGAATAGGACATTTAAGACTATGATCAGTTCGACAAAAGTTCAATGTTTGAAAACTATTGTCGACCACAAGGATAATTGGTTGTGGCATTTGAGGTTTGGACATTTGAACTTTCGATCTCTTAATCAACTGATTACTCAAGATATGGTTACTGGTATTCCAAGCCTTGAGATGCCTGAAAAACATTGTGAAGGTTGTTTAGTGGGAAAGTAATCCAGAAATTCTTTCGTTTCGACTATGTCAATGAGACCATCCTGCATTCTCAAAGTGGTGCATTCAGATGTATGTGGTCCATTCGAAGAACATACAATTGGTGGAAACAAATATTTTGTTTCGTTTGTTGATGAGTTTAGTCGAAAGCTGTGGATCTATGTGATTAAACGAAAGGACGAAGTATTCGAAATCTTTAAGAGATTCAAGATACTTGTCGAAAACCAGAGTGAGAAGAAGATCAAAGTTCTGCGAACAGATGGAGGTGGTGAATATACATCCAAGATGTTTGAAGGTTTCTATGCAGAACATGGTGTTGATCATGAGGTAACTGCTCCTTATACACCTCAACATAATGGAATTGCTGAAAGAAGAAACAAAACAATATTAGATATGGTGAGATGCATGCTGAAGCAAAAGAATTTTCCAAAGTCTTTATGGAGAGAAGTTGTTTCGACTGCAATTTATATTTTGAATAGGTGTCTTAATAAGATATTAAAGAACAAGATTCCTGAAGAAGTGTGGAGTGGCAAACGACCATCAGTAAGTCATTTGAAGGTGTTTGACTCTATGTGTTACAAGCATGTTCCTGATGAAGGAGAAGGAAACTTGATGGCAAAAGTGAACCTATGATTCTGGTAGGATATCATAAAACTGGTACATACAGGCTATTCAATCCAGTTAATGAGAAGATTGTGTTGAGTCGAGATATTGTGATTAATGAAAAATCTTCCTGGGATTGGAATTCTAGCAACAAGCCATTAATGAATTTTGATTTCGACGAAGAAGCTGATGAAGTAGAGGTCGAAGGAATTGGTGAGAATCCGGTCAAAGTCGAAGAAGAAGTAGTTGCTGACACTCCCATCACAGTCAACGTCAAAGAGGTTGTGGCTGAAACAAGCCAAAGACCTCAAAGAAATAGAGTTCTTCCAACAAGACTTCATGATTATGAAGTGGTGGATGATGATGAAATCACACCAGATAGAGAATTAGTTCATTTTGCTTTACTTGCAGGTGCTGAACCAATCAACTATAGCGAAGCTTTGAAGATTAACAAGTGGAAGTTAGATATGGTCGAAGAGTTACAGGCAATAAAAAAAACAACACACGGGAGTTAGACGAATTGCCAGCACATAGAAAAGCTATCTAAGTAAAGTGGGTGTTCAAGTTGAAACACAATGTAGATAGGTCAATAGAAAGACATAAAGCAAGATTAGTAGCTCGAGGTTTTCTTCAAAGAGCAGGACTTGACTACTCTGAAGTATTTTCTCCAGTAGTAAGATTAGAGACTGTACGACTAGTGGTAGCATTGGCATGCAACCAAGGTTGGTCAACATTCCATCTAGATGTGAAATCATCATTTCTGAATGGTCCTTTAGACGAAGAAGTTTATGTCACACAACCTCTTGGGTTTGTGATTCAGAAGGAAGCGAGTAAAGTATATAGATTGCACAAAGCACTATATGGCCTCAAGTAGACACCTAGGGCATGGAACAAGAAGATCAACTCATACTTAGTCGAATTGAGATTTGTCAAATGCAAATCAGAGTATGGTATCTATGTTCAGGTTGTAGCACAAGATATAACAATCATTTGCTTATATGTTGATGACTTGCTAGTAAATGGAAATAGTTTGGAGAACTTGTCGAAGTTTAAAGAGCTAATGATGAAGGAATTTGAAATGTCAGATCTAGGAAAATTGTCTTATTTTTTAGGCATGGAATTTCAAATGTCGAAGCAGGGTATGGTGCTACATCAAAGAAAGTATGTCAAAGAGATATTCAAGATATTCAGAATGAATGATTTGAATCCTGCATCCTCACCCGTCGAACCAAATGTGAAGTTGGAGAAGAATGGAGAGGAAGACAAAGTCGATACAACTTTGTTCAAGCAAATTGTGGGATCTCTAAGGTGTGTGTGCAACAGTCGACCTGATATAGGTTTTGCAGTCGGATTAGTAAGTAGATATATGGGTGAACCAATAGTGTCACATATGAAGGCTGCAAGAAGAATCCTGAGATATTTTAAGTGTTCAATAAATTATGGAATCCTATTTCGACGAGATTCTGAAGGCAAAGAAGCAATAGTTAATTGTTTTTCAGATGCTGATTGATGTGGAGATAAGGAAGATCGAAGAAGTACAACTGGATATTTCTTTCAAGTATTTGGTGCCCCAATGGAAAACATATGCAAGACTAACTAATGTAACTAATGTTGGACTACAAGAAAGGGTAACACCACATCTCAACCCAAAATCTTAAAGTGTTAGGTAAATGAATCATCTCTCTTATAAATCCAACATTCCACTCAGTCATAGACAATGTGGGACTATAACCACTCACACAGGCCATACTGTGTCATAGGCTTTAGAGCTTTGTCTCATTAAAAATTACGATGAACTGTTTATTACTTTGAAGTTATGGTGTTTTTCTCCCAGCTCTCAAAACCATCCTCAAGAAAGCATAATTTTCTTACTTTTTTTTTTGGTTGAAACAATAAATGTGTTGGAGAACTCTTGGAGGGATATTTAAACAATAAATTAATTTGCTTTTTGTTTTTGTATACTGCTGTAAAATTATAATTTGTTTAGATTTTGCAAAGCTAATGTTGTCATAACATTCTCATTGAGGTAACATCTTCTGTTTCTATAGGAATGATTGATACATGGAACAAACTATATTAGAAAAAATTTCCTAGTAAAAAAAAACACTTTCTATTTAAATTAGCCTAAACTAATCTATCTTGATCTTCATTATCATGATATGCAGCTCTTTCTATTTAAATTAGCCTAAACTAATCTATCTTGATCTTCATTATCATGATATGCAGCTCAATTCAAGCGTGAAGTGAGGTTTAGGAATTCATCTTCACTGCATGGAATTGTTAGACCACCCATTGGATGATCATATCCGAATTCTTCTTCTGCTTGATTTAATAATTCTTGAAACAATGGTTGATTCAAGTATGAAACTGGAATCACAATCCGACTCATTTTTTCTCCAACATAGACGGCAAAATAGCCTTTAGCAACTTCAAATCCCTTGGTAGATCCTTGGGTTCTGGAAAATGATTTTCTTTTGATAATACTTGTCATGCGGAAACCCATTGTTTGTTTATGGTTATAGGATTGGTTGAGAAAGAGAAATTAAGTTGAGATGTTTTAGGATGTAAAAGACTCGTGTTGCTTGTGAAACCATGGAGTAGTGTGTATATATAGTTGTAATAGGGCCAAGTGAGGGAGAAGGGATCACATGGTATTGTCTAACAGAGGTCATTTTCAAGTATTAGGATATTTAAGACAATGGAATGGTGAATGAAACCTGATGTCTGTTGTTATAGCTAATCCAATGGTAGACATGGTTTAGACATCTTACATCACATGTTTCTTCGAATTGACAATCTATCTAATATTACATCTACCAGCTAATATATATCAGATTTCTGTTCAACTTGTTATTCTAGGCCCTCGTTAATACCAGATCCAAAACAGTGTTAGAAGACAAGAAAAAAACCATTATTGAACACAAGATCACTATGAACCACATTTTATATTTTTGCCAGACAAACTCCATGAAATTTGCATACCAGAACATAACTCGGTGGTCCCTTCCTTGCTAAATAAGACAATATCCATGTGATCTAATATATCTCTTGTCTCCTTTGCAGATTATTTCTTTTTCACAAGTCAATCAAGTAGCCAACGATTTTTCAATATACATTTATCTATATATATTAAAGGTTAGAAGCATTTAGGACCAACACAAATCATTCACATTTCAAGAACTTTCTTCTTGCTTAATAGTCTTTTTAAAAAATCAATTCTTCTCAAGTTTCATCACATATACAACTATGGGCTTTCCTTTCTCTGGTATCATCAGAAAGGCATCATCTGCTGTAAACCAAGCAGCTTCAAAAACTGCAGACATGCCAAAGGGATATCTTGCAGTATATGTTGGAGAAAATCAAAAGCGGTGTGTCATCCCCATATCATACTTGAACCAACCATTGTTTCAAGACTTGTTGAGCCAAGCTAAGGAAGAGTTTGGATATGATCATCCCATGGGTGGCCTCACCATTCCTTGTACCGAAGATGTCTTTCAACACATAACTTCTAGCTTTAATGACCTATGATCCTCTCACCTGAAGAGACTGACATAGTTTGTTAGAAATATTTGTTTTGTAAACTAGGCATCTTATCTCATTTTAAAGATGGGAAAAAATAACAATTAGATTGACAAATTGTATATATATTTTGATTAATCACAATGAACAGAACTACTAAAGCAGCTTTTCTATGTATTTGGTTTATTGCACTAAAACTTTTTGAAATATGAGTTCGACTATATGAGTAATTTGCTTGCTATGAGAAAAAAAGGACTTGTCATTCTGAAAATTTTCAAATCAGGAATGGAATACATTATTCCTGGCAAGGGCAGGGGAAAAATAATTTTTCCCACGACACATAATAAAATAAATTTACCAAAGTGATTTTATAAAAAAAACTACGTAATATAGATATGGAATTATTTTTGTGTACCAAAACCTTAATCATACATGAGGTATCTATGGTGCCTTATTCCACTGAATGACAGAGGCCTTATTCTATGGTGCCTGTTAGGATATCCTTATCTAAATAAATGAATGGTTAGTACTTAGTTAGTAGGCTATGCAATGAGGTTTAGTGATAGACAAGGGCTCACAAACCACCACATGCTGTTGTCTTATAGATTTTCATCAAGAGTCACAATATATTTTAGAATAATGACCCACTTTGTAGATAGTTATCCACATATATTTATTGCAAAAATTATAAATTTGTCCTTTCATCCACATATACTTGTTTTACTATTGACCACAACATCTACGGAATATATTGTTAGACTGTTATTATTGAGAAGACTTTCGATATAAGGAGTATGTCAATTTTAGTCTAACACACTACTACAAATAAATGATTTTACTTCGATTGTAAAAGAGATTTTACTTCTATTTCAAGGGTGAAATAAAGAAGCTTGTCATAGATAGTGCGCCATTTTTTTCCTCGGGTTAGCTGTCAACCGAAAGGAAAAGTTGAACTGATAATGTGTTTGATCTCCAACAAAATCAGTTTATGGATTTTAAAAACTGAAAAGTCTCGGTTGAAATTAATATCTGAGGTGAAATACTCATTTATATAATTTTTATTTTAACGTGTTTTTTCGTTTAAATCTGCAAACATCAAATTTTTCGACAAATTTTAAATTTTCATCATCAACAACAACAACAAAAACAAAATGAATAGAATTGTTAAACATCAAATCTCAACGACAACAATAACAATAACATTAATAGCAACAATAAAGAAATGAATAAAATCAGTAAAATAATTAAACATTAAATCTCAACAACAACAACAATAACATTAAACATTTTATTTGACACAAGAACTAACATTGTTAAGTTATATTCGATCTTTCATAGCTAACATTAATCATTTCTAATAAGCAATTACAAGAGACGATATTACATTAAAGGAGTGTTTATTTCAAGTTATGAAAATCATTTCTTGAAAAGTAGGAATTCTCATAATTATTATCTAGGAATAATATTTTCATAGAAGTGTTTGGTCAAAAAATAAATTTCCTAAGAATGTTTACAATATTTATTTAATTTAAAAATTATAAAAAATAAAAATAAAAGTAAGTAGTAGTGGTAGTTATAGTTAATTAAATTTTATTATCATAAGAATGTTAGATTCCTATCTTTACGCATGAAAATAATTATGAGAAAAATTATGTGTAATAATATTCTTGAGAATAAAAAATGTCAAGGAATATTTTTCAAGAATTTGAAACAAATGTGAGATTGTTGCATTTCAAATGTTGCATTCTTGAAAATGTAATTCTAATCTTTGAAACAATCACACCTTAAGAAACTAACCTTAAAATATTTTCACACTTTTGCAAAACATCATAGTGTTTTACTTTATTCAACTACTTTCATTATCATTGTTTTGATTACGTTAAGTTTGTATTTCAATATTTTGTATGCAAGATAGATTATTGTGACATTCATGCACTACTACAAATAATATATTTCATGACAAAGCTTTCTCCCCAGCCATAAAAAACGAGGTAATATGCTTAGGCGCACCATGTTATATTTTTTATAATTATAAAAATAACATATTACCTCGACTTTTAAGGAAACCAAGGAGAAAAACAAATATGGACAAACTTCAAATCTCAACTTTTGCAGTTTATGTTTTTATTTGTTTATAAGTGTAAACTAAATCAATTAACTCTTTGATTTTTCGATATAATCAAGGATCAAATAATCAGATTTCACTATAAAAGAAAATAAATTTTACTCTAATCCTTACTTATATGAAGTCACCCCAAACTCACATGCATCATTCTTTGAGATGGATTGCAAGACAGAAAAAATCTTCAATATTCTTATAGAACAAAACATTTGTTCCGCCCTTGCAATCTATATCACATAATAGCATTGATGTTGTTGTTGTATTTTTGCTCATTTGATAGATCGTAAGTGTATAAAATCTATCTTGCTTCAAGTTACGCAAAGAATGGATCTCGTCAACCTTTGAAATTTTAAACAAGGAAGATAGCTTAACTGATCGGAAGATGTATATCAGCGAAGATATTCATTCACAAGAGCAATGATTTGTTGTAAATATTTTATTTTAATATTTTGTGTAAACAATGTAATTGCAAAAAATAATAGTTTTTCATCTCAATCTTTTTTAATAACTGAGGTGATAATTAAAACCAAAAGATTATGTACCTTGGTTTTCTTATAAAGCCGAGGAGTAACATATTCAGATTTTATTATAAATATCATTGTTAAATAGATTTTATCCTAATACTAACTTATATGTAGTCGCGCTAAATAGAGGAAATATTTACCACTGTCCATTGCAAAGAAATTTTTTGATCTAGAAACGCTTAAGAACAAATATCTGGGATGGATTGCAAGTGCAAAAAATAAAAATTCTCATGGTAAAAACAAATAAATTATCAGATGTTAGATAACTCATGGTGTGTTTTTTTGGATATGCAACATAAAGGTATACAACAAAATTTAGATTCTACCAAACATTTATTGTAAATAATTTATTTCCATCCTTTAGAAGTTGGATGAATTCAATCCATATAACACTGTTGTTCTTAAAAAATCTGGATTTATTGTACTATTATGTTTTAATATTCTGTGTAAACAATGTAACATAAAAAAATATTTGCACCTCGGTTTTCCTAAAAATTGAGTGGATAATTTAGCATTAAAATTGATGATATTTATCACTGTCCTTAATCAAATCTTTGCCGTCTATTTCATGACTACCAGTGCTCAAGACACTACCATTAATAATCTGCGTGTAACATAAATAACTTCCATTATAAAAGCATTTTGAATATAAAAAATTGATAATGAAGTGCTTGAAACATAAATAACTTCCACTTTAAGGTTTGCAATTGTCTTTGCCATGAAGAATTCTCTATGATGGATTGCAAGAGGATAAAATTATTTGGATTTCAGGTTTTTGATCTTAAATATTTATTTTAGCAGAAAATCATTTATTTTATTTAACTTTTTTTTTTGTTTATATCAGAAATAAATGCAAGAAAAAACAATAGAAAATATATTGGCATCCAACATTTGATCTTGCCCAGAATATCAAGGAATTTGATATCCAACATATGATCTTTATGGACAATTAATTTTTATTTTATTATTCTGTGTAAATAATGAAATATTCTACGTAAACTTTGTAGTTTGTAAATAAATTATTTTATTAATTTTTTGTGTAAAAAATGTAACATGTTTTAGTTTTAAAAAACATAATAATTTATCCCCCAGTTTTATTGATTAACCGAGATATATGAGGCGCTACTATTGTAAATAATAAAAATGAAGATGGTGGAACAAAAAAAATCCACTTGATTGTTATCTCAACTGAGGTAATTGCTCATAAATAAAATATTAAAAAATAAAATGTGATAAAATAAAGTGTTTGGAATTCGAAAGGGGATTGATCATTCCCCTATGTGGCCACTCAACCAAGGTAATATGTCCTAAACAAAAGAAAATAAAAATAAAAATAAAAAGGAGCCAATATGCGATTGTTGGGATTCAAAGGCTTATCCCTTGAATGGAGGTTTGATTAGTGGTCTTCAGGAAGCAGGGTTATTTTAGGAAGTTTCCAAATATCGAGCTTGATCGCTTCCATTTGTGAAACTATTCATTAACGGGTCGTGTTTTTGATCAATTATAGATGTATTGGATTTAAGCCGTTATAAATATTTGTACTTATACTTTTGTAAATTACAACATTCATTATGAAGATATAGAGAAGATAATAATAATCCTTAAAGTAAATTTAGAGGGACAAGAGTAAAATTTCTTTAAGTTCTTAGAACTTGAGAAATATTTGGACGTATCTAAGAGGATTACAAAATAATTTTTTACATTTTAGATTTGTGATATATATATATATATATATATATATATATATATATATATATATATATATATATATATATATATATATATATATATATATATATATGGTAGAAATTGGGATTTATTTTTAGAATTAGTGTAACTATTTTCTTGTAATTATTCTATGATCTCTTCTAACAATTCTCAGTAATATAGTAAATCAGAGAGTTGATCTCTCCCCTATAGTAGGCCAGTTAGATAATATTGGGAAAGAAAGTTCTTTATGTTCTCATCTTTTATCATTATTTTTCTTGTTATAGATTTACTTACAAGTGATTCTATATTACTTTAGTTGCTTGAGGCTATTTATTTGTGTTGTCATTATTTTTTGTCACAAACTTCTTTCCTATCAACAAAATTAATATTATTGTAAGATATCGACAACAGCTTGGTGTGTTTTAGCCTTTCAATTTTATAATAGATTGCACCTACCGTTAGGAAAAGGGATTTTATTTACAAGTTAGTACCATGGTTTATAAATGATAGATTGAGAAAATGTTCGAAAACCAAGATTTTGGACAGTGGAAAGTGAAGATGTAAGTAATCTTAACTCAAGAGAAATGTGTTGAAGGATTAAAGGTTGAGAACCGATCCAGGTACACCTAACACAAGCAAAGAACACCAAAATG